ATATTTAGAGTTAGCAGTAAGCAATTTGAGTTACAGTTAGCTGTTAGCAGTTAGAGATGGCAGAGTCAGCAGTTAACATTTAGAGTTAGCAGTTAGAGTTAGCTGTTAGCAATTAGAGTTAGCAGCTAGAGTTAGCAGTTAGAAGTTAGCAATTTATGCAGTTTGCAATTAGCAGTTAGTATTTACCAGTTAGCAGTTAGAGTTATCAGTTAGAGTTAGAGTGAGCAGTTTGCAATTAGCAGTTAGTATTTACCAGTTAGCAGTTAGAGTTATCAGTTAGAGTTAGAGTGAGCAGTTTGCAATTAGCAGTTAGTATTTACCGGTTAGCAGTTAGAGTTATCAGTTAGAGTTAGAGTGAGCAGTTTGCAATTAGCAGTTAGTATTTACCGGTTAGCAGTTAGAGTTATCAGTTAGATTAAGCAGTTAGAGTTTGAGTTATCAGTCAGATTTAGAGTTAGCAGTTAGCAATTTGAGTTACAGTTAGTTGTTAGCAGTTAGAGATGGCAGAGTCAGCAGTTAACATTTAGAGTTAGCAGTTAGAGTTAGCTGTTAGCAATTAGAGTTAGCAGCTAGAGTTAGCAGTTAGAAGTTAGCAATTTATATATATAAAGCTTAGAGTTAGTAGTTAGCAGCTAGAGTTAGCAGTTAGAAGTTAGCAATTTATATATATAGTACTTAGAGTTAGTAGTTAGCATATAGAGTTAGCAGTTAGTAATTAGTCCACGCCGACTTAATTTTATGGATGACATCCTCTGAAAACCCCCAAACTAGTGCGCGCGGGCGAATAAGAATTCCGGCCAAAAATAAAAATGCTACTAAACCACAGGAATACAAAGTCGGTATTGTGAATTTGCGGATGTTCATAGCGACGCTAATGACAAGCCGGCACATGCTGGGTTTTTATTAATCGGCACTGTCCGTATGTATTGAGTTCTTGAGTCGTGGAGCTTCGGTAGCTTGGGTGTCATCCTCCGTAGTCCCACCAGCTCCGTATTGTCGCTAGCTACCATTGACTACCCAGACCTAGAGCCAGGCCAGAGCCTTGGAGGACGTGATATTTTTTTCAGAAAAAGCGAAAATCAATGCGCGCGCAGATGTCATCCATAAAATTAAGGCGGTGTGGCCTTAGCTGGAAAAAATGTCTCCTTCAGGATCATTTTTTATAAATAACTACACAAACTTGACATGATCTGGCCCTCCCCCACGTGACCCAGTCTCACGTGACGGCCTCTTCTGTTTTTAGTTTGGCTACCACAGCCACAGGCACAGCCCTCTCCAAAAATCACCCATCACCCACCAAGATTGTTACCATATTTTCCTTTAGGCCTATAGGGAACTAGTTGTAATGATGTAAGGCGTTTGTCCAAGGAAAAGTGTAGAATAAAAGCTTTTCCCTTTTCTACGGCCAATGCTGCTTCCTTGTGATCTTTGAGTGAAAGATAATTAGTTAGAGTTAGCAGTTAGAGTTAGAAGTGCAAGGAAAATGTTTCCGAGCTTTAAAAAAAATCCGCACATTCTACGTATAATGTAATTATATTTCAGCCCATGCCATATGGTATGGATGAAATATATTGTGTTCTCTCATTTTTCTTCTTCTCCTTCTCCTCCTTCTCTTCCTGCTCCTCCTGCCACGCAGTCAAAGGGATTCAACTCCGTCATTTTTCAGTCAAATGACATGAAATTTGGCAAGGAGGTAGAGTAGGCCAATACCCTTAGGCGTTTTTTTTTCATTTTTTTGATACATGCCTTTGAAAAATTTTTATGAAGGTTTTTTGGGGCATTTTTCGACAAAAAATGGACCTTTGGATCCAGATCCCTGGTATTTCAACCAAATGATCTGAAATTCAGTATAAGGGTACCTTGAACGTGTGTCTACACAATAGCAGTCACATATTTGGCATACATCACTTTTAAATGACTCATTTAGGGGACTTTAATGGCTATTTCAGGCCAAAATAGGCCCAAAAGTGCTGTACCCGTTCCACGTTCTATCTAAAGAATCGCCCGTTCCATCTGCCGTTGGCCATGGAACACGTGTTCCATTGCGGGTTACCTGAGGTCACATTGTACGTAAGTCGTCCGTAATGACTCACACGTTCTATTATATGTGCCTGAAACGCGTTATACAGGCGAATGTTTCCAAAGTCACTATTTCCTTTGGCAATGGTCGGAAAAAATTTTCTTCCATTCCTAACGTCCCTCTGAGGTGTTAGAAGTGCAAGAAAAATACTCCTGACCTTTTAAAAAAATATCCGCACATTATACGTATAATGTCATTTTGGTCGGTTTTTTTCGTGCAAAACATATCATTTAGAGCCTGAAACGCGTTATACAGGCGAATTTTAACAAAGTCGCTATTTCTTTTGGAAATGGTCGGAAATAATTTTCTTGCATTCATAACGTCCCTCTGAGGTGTTAGAAGTGCAAGAAAAATACTGCCGACCTTTTAAAAAATATCCGCACATTATACGTATAAGTAATGTTGGTGGGTTTTTCCGTGCAAAACCTAAGATTTAGA